CCAGTCTCCTGGGTGGCCTACATCACGGTGCAGGAGTTTTGGGATGAGAGCATGCCTGAGATTGTCCCCAGGTGGGAGTTTGGGGAAGCCCTCTTTCTTGGCTGGTTCGCTGGAGCTTCTCTTCTCCTAGGAGGGTCTCTGCTGAACTGTGCGGCCTGCTCAGCCCAAGCCCCTCTAGCGTCCGGCCACTATGCAGTGGCAGAAGTGGAAACGCAGGGTCCGTCCCTGGAAAACAGAGCCTCGGACCCTAGAGTGTAAGACTTAGACAAGGCCAGCGGGCTTCTCGGCTGTCATGACAAAGGTGTCTTTGTTGCATAGTTAAGTCGGCGTTGCTAGATTCCCATATTCAAGAGCTGGTTTTTCTTTGGCGTTTCCCTTCCTCCCGCCCACTCCTGGACAAATATGAGGGGGTGGGGGGGCCTGTATTTGAAACAATATGGTAAACTTTACTGAGGTATGAGCAAAAAATGTCCTTGATCTATTTTGTGTTTCTGTTTTGAAATCAAAGTGTGAACCTTGTCCAATACACAGAGTCCTAAGATTTAATGTGTTAATGTTTACATTAGATAGCTTTTCTTTGGGTTGCTCTTGTCAATAGCTAGAAATGGTTTCCCGAGGGAACAGTTAACAAATATATATATTGAAGGTGGTGGGGATGGGTTGGGGGAAGGGGGAACTTACAATGATCTACATGTAAGCCCCTCCCAGGAGGACGGACAACAGAAAAATGGGTGAAGGGAGACAGCGGTCAGTGTAATACATGAAAAAAAAAATGTATAAATTATCAAGGGTTCGTGAGGGAGGGAAGGTGGGGGCAGAAATGCACTGATATCAAGGGCTCAAGTACAAAGCAAATGCTTTGAGAATGTGATGGCAACAAATGTACAAATGTACTTGATGCAATGGATGGATTGTGATAAGAGCTGTATGAGCCCCCAATAAAATTATTTAAAAAAAATCCCAAACCAAAAAAACTTCAAACATATATAGTTTTTCAATCTTTCAGGCATTCTGTATAGTAAAACCACATGCTACGCAGTTCCCGAGATGGTATTTCCACAACCCCACCTCCCTCCCTCCCCCGGGTCCTGCAGCAAATACTTGTGTCTTCTTGAAGATAAGTGGTTTGTGTTGAGGGAATTACTAGGCACCTCCTGTGGCGAGGAGCCCTGGTGGTGCTGTTGGGCTGGTAATCAAAAGGTTAGTGGTTCAAACCCACCAGTCGCTTCATGTGAGAAAAATGAAGCTGGCTGTTCCAATAAAGATTTATTTATACACCTGGAACCCTTTCCTGAGAGGAGGTGGAAGTGGTTCAGCTCTATAGCAGTGGGGTTCTTTGTGACAGGATGTTTTGGAACGAAGCCTGTCTGTCCATATTGTAATATTTTCAGATGACAAACTCTGTCTTTCTGACTTCTCATCTCTTCTCTCAAAAGTTTCAGACTTAGTGTACACTGGTACAGATATTGAGTTAGTTTATTTTGCCAACCTGGCTGATAAACACATGTGGGGTTAATTGAAGGG